CAATATTGGGGGAAGAATATGAGCTAGAAGGACGAGGTTCAATCGGGAAGAAGACCCCCTTTTATAGGCCCTCCAAAATTCAACCGTTATGTGCTCAGCTCGCACACAAGCGGTACTACCGCTCGGGCGGTAGATCTAGGAAAATAGGGCAAAGGCTAGGAACCTTGGGGAGGTAGAGCCGCCAGAGCAGTACTACCGCTCATCCCAGCGATACTACCGTGGGAAGAAGCAAAACACAGGAGCAGAGGAGGTAGGGCATAGCAGAGCACGACGACAGTACCCCAGCAGCGGTACTACCGCCCGACCGGGATGGTACTACTGCTTATAGGCGGTACTACCGCACCTGACTGCCGCCCTACAACCGCAGAACCCGACACGAAAAACAGAACCCCCAGAATAAGCGAAAGTGTGTGCAGAACTGGAACAACAGAAGTACCGCTTACAAGCGGTACTACCGCCCGACTTGGACGGCACCGTCACTCAAGCGGTACTACCTCTGCCTAGAGTGATACTACCGCAAGGGTGCATCAAGCAAGCCCCTAAGCAACACAGATGCAGCAACAAAACCAGAACTGCCATAACTTCTGCATATGAGCTTCGAATTGAGCAAACTCAAGCTTGTTGGATAGATGACGACAAGTACTATCCAAAGAGTACTTTGTTTGGATATAGAGATGTGAAACCTCTATGAATGAAGAACCGGCAAAAACTCAAACATCAAAAACATCATAGAAGAGGCATGTGAATTCCATTTTCGATGAACTCGAGCTTGTCAAGAAGACCACCATAAGCTCTAAAACTCACACCAAGAAAGATGATGCAAGGATGCAATGGTTTGAACTCTCGACGAACGATACGATCAAGCTATTCACTTGGGAGCCCCCCTTGATAGTACGACAATTGATCCTATAACCCGGTCTCCCAACTACCACCATGAGAACATAAAATAGAAATCCTATCAAGGGCAAACCTTTGCCTTGCACATAGTCCACCTGAACTAGATGACGACGATCTTGACTTCCTCAAGTTGGACCACCTTTCTTGATTGTGTTGGCTCGATGAAGACTAGTTGATTTCTCCCCTATACGCCACTATGGATGAGCCACTCTTCAACACATATTCACAAGTCCATTGTCACCACAATGGACGGCAAGCTTCAAGCATGATCTCTTTGTGATGCTCCACTTAAATTTGCACACCGCAATCCTGATGACGATCACCACTTGATGTCATCTTCCATGGGATATATGATATCATCCTTTTGATGCACAACCATGGAAACATACCTAACCCCACAAACAACTCTCACATAGACCACGGGTTAGTACACAAAGCGTAAGACAATGCTTACCATACCATGAGATTACTTGACCCCTCTTGGGGATTCAGATCCTCTAACATCAGTAGGAAAGTCAGGTATGCTATAGGACCCTGACATCCTTTCGTTGTTTTTTCATGGTTTGAAATATAACACCATGATTTATAAACAGTAATTACCCGTGAACAGTAATGAATCCACGTTGATTTTATTAACAGTGCAATGTCTCTGCCTTTCCTTCTCTGTTTTATACAGAGAGGACACTGTATCTCCCTGACTTGCCTCCTGCATGTCAGAGGATCTGGTTCCCCCTCTCAGTACATCTTGCATGCTTTGTGTGTTGATCAACTTGATTCATTCTTTGACTTAGTCTTGATCAACCTTGTATCATGTCTTCTCTATGACCAATCTTTGGATAATTCCTTGAATAGAACCTTGGTCAACACATAAACTCCTTGAAACCAACAAATGGACTTCAAGAAAAGTCTATGGACAAATCCTTTAAATATAACTCAAGGCAACCATTAGTCCATAAAGGTTGTCATCAATTACCAAAACCAAACATGGGGGCACCACATGTTCTTTCAGATGGGACCTTACTCTTCCCCCTTAGAGTTGTTGTCAAATAATTTGTTTTCTCCCCTCCCAAGGCCATAAGGGTGCGATATATGAGAGAGAAAATTACACAAACGTCCAACTATGTGTGTCAAAATTGCATAGACCATTTTTTCTTAGGGTTTGTTGCAGAAAACGTCACCTATTGGTGTAATCTATTGCAGTTAGGTCTAATCCATAATTCGATTCTTTTTACATATCTCTAATAGATGAGCCTCGCTTGTAGGTGTACATGTGGCAATAAAAGCCAAGTTAGCCGC